TCTGCTTAATAAGACATCCTGATGTTTTCTTGTGAACGAGTACACGAAAAACTTTGTAGGTATTCCATCAGCACTGGGAAGGAAATATGTTTCCTGTTCCCAGGATCTAAAATTCGGGACATGGTGATAGAAGCTATTTTATTGATTATGTTAGGTTTTCTGGCTCCTTAATCAGTTTGGGTTTGTCCACTTGATCTGTCTTGGTCTGAGATTGCTGTCTTCAAGTCTTCTACTATGATGGCGTTTCTATGTATGTTCTACAGTTTTTGCTTCATGAAGGTGGTTGCTACTATTTTATTCATACATATTCATAAATTTCATAGAGTCATTTTGAATTATTCCACTTAGCATCAAAAAGCACCTCTCATAAACTTTATTCCTTTTTGAATTGAATGCTGCTTTATCAGATACCTAGTTCATGTCCCTCCATTCTTAGTGTTTCTGTGAGCCTGGTACACATTTGTCTGTTTTATCTGTTTATTTGCTTTGCTGAATCACTTTGCTTTAATTACATCCCTTGCATGCAGCATATGGCTGGATATTATTTTATAAGCCAAGGTAAAAATCACGTTCTTCTAACAAATCAAGTTCATTCATATTTATCGATATGACTAACCTGTCTCAATTCTGTTGGTTTCAGTTGTGTCAGAATACTTCAATAATTACGTTTATTAGATGATTCTCTCTATGGTTACTTCTTTACAAAATGTGCAGTATTTGCTCTTTAATTAAAAGTAACAATTAGGAAGGATTGTATTTTCATTCTAATGGTTATCTTTGAATTTATATCATTTATAACACCCTTGATTCTATGTTCTCTTATTTGACATTTTACTCTTCGGTTGATTAATTTCCAAGGGTATATTTTAAATCCTATCGACTACACAATAGGCAACGAGTTTATTCTGTTTCCTATTTCCTCTCTTCTCTCTTATTTAGTTGTTTTATTTATGTTTTGTCATAAAATACAGCATCTGTGCACCCATGCCTTTGTTTGTGTCTTAACTCTACATTTGTATGCACTGAAATGCCCCTCACCAGCACTTTGCTGAGGTTTCCTCATTTCTCTGTTGATTGAATGAAGGCAGTCTCGCAAATTCCTCATGAAGGGCTCATGGGTAGAACGTTTTACATTCTATATGTTTAAAACTGTTTTTTAAGACTTGATGATCAATAAACACATTAGCTGGTAATAAAAATCTGTATTCATACCTTCATTCATTGTGATTTATTTTCCTAAAACTATTCCATTGTCGCCTTTTTGTGTGTGTTGTTTTTAAAAAGTCTAATGCTCTGGGAAGTTATTTGATCTTTTGCCTGGAGAGGCCTTGATAGGTTTTTGGTTTTCTTTTTTTTTTTTTTTAATTCTTTTCATTTTTTGAAGCTAATACTTTTACCAGGGTGTACCTCGGAGATGATAATTCTGAGTTAATTTTCTTAGACTTTTTTTTTAAACATTTTTTATTGATTTATAATCATTTTACAATGTTGTGTCAAATTTCAGTGTTCAGC